GCCAGTGAAATCCGTCGCCTTCTGTTCGGCCATGTTACGGAGATGAAGAATGCATGGAAGACCTTTCAGGGCAGACTTGATGTGGTCGAACAGAACCAGAAGACTCAGGAGGGCGACATCACCACCATCAAAACGCGAACCAAAGTACTTGAGAGGGACAACATGGCCACCAAAGGTCGACTTGATCGAACGGGCAAAAAGATGGAGGAGATCACGGAGGACGTCAAGAACATGCAGGTCCAGATCGGTGAGCTACAGGAAAAAACCAAACAGCTTACTGAGGCAGCTGGTTCCAAGCAAGCTCCTCCTCCAGTACCACCTCAACAACCGGATCCATGGGGTGAATACTTACGAAGGAATGGACGAACTGTTGCTCCACCAGTTAGCCCCCCTCTCCCTTCACCGAGTGCTCAGGGTGAAAAGGGTGAGTCGCTCACGGAGGACGAGAAACGCACATTGGTGCTTGGAGGATGGCTCCGGGACACCAAGAGGGCCATCATTGAACAGGAGTTCGCAGACATTGCGGCGATCGAAGGCTTCAAGGCTTTGGTGGACACGGACAAACTTGTTGTGTACGGGCCCCGACGATCAGTTGGCATGCTCAAGTTCCAGGAACGAGAAGGCGAGGACTACAACGCCGTCCGCAACCGCATGTGGGAAACCATCCGCTTTCTTCAGCAGCTCAGGCAGCCACTTAAGAGCACTAAAGAGGAGGGTGAGGTGAAACTTCTTTGGGGGAGCTTCGTCAAGACCAGACAAGCACGAGCCAAAAGCGCACATGTTAGCCTCATTCGGCGGGTGACCATTGGTCTGGCCCTCGACAGCAAGGATGCCAACGGCAGCATTGCGTGCGTGCTTAACACCCAAACAACGGCCTATGATTGTGATTGGAATCTCGGCACAGTCTGGTGTGGCAGCCAAAAACTTGGAAGCGCATCTCACCGCCCTCCTCGTGAGGGTGAACATGTACTTCTTTCTGGAGGGTGGGTTTCTCTGGACGCAGTTGCCACAACCGCTGGATG